CTACTGGTTCTGAGGAATCCCTGTACTCTGTAACACTCTTACAAAGGCAGCAATCCCTAACCTTCTGTATTTGCAATTCTTCAGCCTCTCTCCCTAAATACATTAGCTTATGCCTAACAAATATTGTAGATTCATTACAAAGTGTTATCTTCTTTCCAGAAAACGTCCCTCCTACAGCTTTCACTCTCTGCAAAATCCAGTTTACATCCATCAGATGCTTGTAAACAAACTTCTGTACTCCCTTGTTCTTGGGAAGCATTTCCTCCATTCTGTCTGCTTTCTCATATCTCAAGCAGGGTCCAATTACTGGAACATTGTCTGTGTATAGGTTCATAACATCTGGAATCTTGTTGCAAAGAATAAACACTAAGTCATTATACAGAATCTGTACTGAGTTGGTGTAACCCATTAGCAATACTGTCAAGCAAAACGTTCCTAGAGGTGTCTGGAACATTGTCAGATCTCTAGACTGCTCATCCAAACTCCTCTGATCAAACACAATATGCAAATTGAGTTGTGTATAGTATGTACAACCTCTACAGCTTTCTGCAATTAGTTTCATGTTTGGCAGAACAGCTGTGTCCTTTATTGTAACTGTGTTTAACCTCTGCAAATCAATAATAAATCACAAGGATACTCTGTCTTTCTTTGTGACACAAAACTATTGTAATCAATAGGAGGAATTTGACAGTTCTATCACTCTGTTACACAACTTCTCCTTCAACAACTCAATCACCCTCTTCTCAATTCTACATACAATCAGAATACTTTTCTCTACCCATAGTACATGCTCTACAGTCAGAATTCGAATAGGATCAAAGTATGTGGGGTCCAATGTTCCTCACTCCTCTTCTGTCCACACAAACACTTCTGACTGTAGCATTAATAGGTTTTCTGCAAGTTTCCATTCTTCCAGCCATAGGAATCCTGATTGCAATTCTCTAATCACTCACATCTGCTCTTTCATAAGTCAGCTGGTAGGCACAAAGGGCTGTAGTATTGTTAGTAATATAGGCATTCTGGCTAGAGGATTGGGGTGCTGTTGTCTGACTATGCAGAACTCCTCCAGAAGCACTCTAGGTACAGGGTGCACCTTATTTGCAACTTTCTTGTAAGCCTACAAAACTGTGTTGAGTTTGTTATCTGGTGTATTGAGAATTACTGACTTCTGTGACTCTACTGCCTCTATCATTCATGATTCTGTGACTCATGATCCCTGACTACAATCCTTTCTCACATTTACTCTATTTCCTTTGTCTCTTCCTCCATATAGAATCATCACCTTACTATTACTCTTCTGCTTGTTCATTCCTAATCTGCTTGCCATATGCACATCTCCCCAGAATTGTAGTGTTTCTGGTTCCTTGATGCTTCTCAAAAATCTGTCTCCAGCTCATATTACAGTGCCCTCACTCTGGTGGACAGAGACCACCTCCTCAACAGATCATTCAGGTCCTAAAGTGTTATGTACTACTCCCTATTTGCAAAATCTTTAGTTTCACATTCTGTAGTCACAAAGAACAGTCTACCTAGCAAGATCCTGAACAGAGCTTTCTACACAACTTGTACTGTAATATCTACATGAAGCATTCCTATAGAGAGTCACAACCTTGGAATCTGTCCTACAGTCAATCCCTGACCAGTGTCTGCTGTTTCAAGCATAACAGCCATATTACAATTCAACAGAATCTTTAATGCTTCCTATACATCAGCTTGAACTATGTTTACACTTGATCCCTGGTCCAGCACACAATCTACCTCAATTTTTCTGTCTACTATTACCTTGAGTATACAGAGTGGAAGCAAATGGTTAACTTCTACTAATGTGTTACAATACTACTGTAGTCTACTATTGTTTGATCCTACAACAGGCAGTTCTCTACTGTAGAACATAGTGTTTCCATCTGTTTAGTGCCTCAATGTTACTAATTTGTGAGTCTTCTTCCAAAGCTCTAGAGACAATGCAAGCAACTCCTACTGTGTAATACACACTTCCTGGTCCAAGCTACAATCTAAAACTCTTCCAGCTATTTCTGGGTCCTTAATTGGTGTAATGTAGCAGTACAGGTACTCCTTTGTCTCAGTTGTGTCTTACTGTGTACTTGCTAGTGCTGGTCTGATATCTGCAGGTTTCACTACTTTGTAATCATGCCCTTGCTTTCCCTTCCCCTTTACATCCTTTACTTTCAATTGTTCTACAACCTTCTTACAGGCTTCTCTAAGCATTACTTCAAGCCTTTCAAGCTCTGTAAGGTTCTCCACCTCCTCCTCTTCTTCTTCATCAACCTCTACCATTGTAACTGGTACAGGAGCTCCTAGACTGTGTGCTATGACTGGTGCAGCCTCTACAAAACTAACAGAGTACATTTGTAACAACAGAAAGTAGCTATCAACCTTTTCCTTCAAGGTCTGCCCTATCCTAGAAATGGTGTTTCTGTTAGCCATAATAATTTTATTGTCTAGACTCTGTGCACACTTCCTGTTTACAATGTATTCTGACACTTTTGAGCAACTGTGTATAAAATGTCCAGATTCTCTACAAAATGTGCAACTTCTGTTTCCTGATCCTCTGCCTGAACCTCTACTGTATCCTCCTCCTCCTGATCTTGGGCCTTACTTTATTGACTCTACTTGCAATTGTAGACTCTGAAGTGCTTCCACAATGCTTGTCAAATTAACTTCTTCCTGTTTGACCAGAATCACAGGCTGACTCACAAGTGTATCTGATCCACTAACTACTGTGAGTGTAGATCCCCTAAGGATTGACCCTGCTAC